CAAACTTCGACAAAACCGTTTACCAAATAATTGAACTCGGCTGAACTGCGTTCAGCAAGCTGCGACAAACGTTCTTGTTTGATATTTTTTAAAATATTTTGATGAAAATGTGACCAGTATTGGCTGTATGAGAAGCTCAAAGTCAAACAGCATGCGAAGAGCTACGCTCGAAATTTCTCTACGGCATAAATTCCGTAACAATGACATCTACAGAAGAATAAAAGTAACTCACATAGCCCAGCGGATCAGTAAGCTAGAGTGGAATTGGGTCGGCCATATAGCTTGAGGAACCGACGGACGATGGGAAAGAAAGATTTACGAGTGAGTTTTCAAGTGTGGCTCAGGAATTTGTGGCAATATATGACATATGTTAAAAAGTAGTAAATTTATTGTACTAACAATAAATTTTAAATAATAAATTTTAATTTAAGTGTAATTAGTAAATGTATGGATTTCATACTTTGATCGTACTAGGAATTTGAGGCAAGTTAAAATAGGAGTCCGTCTAGGTAAGTAACATTGTCTCATTTATTTTTGCCGTAAGCATCAATGCATAGCAACGTACTTTTGTATTCCGAGTTAAATATCATAGAAAACCAACATCATTTCAGGCTTTGAATATTCCATCTTGGTCCTCACAGGTGATAAATTACGTATAGACATCTCTGCACTTACAACGGGTTTACTATTAGTTCGTATGACACCTGGTAGAACTACCTACCAAATGTTTGGCTCGACCAGGGAAGAATCACGCTTTTATAGCATGCCAACAAAAAAAATGTTGCTATGTATAACGAGGCATTGTATTTTCAATCTTAGAGGTGACAATGCACCTGCGTATTGATTTTTAAACGATGATAGATGTAGGTGTCTATGAACCACAGTATCCACTTACCATCAGGTGGATAATGGTCACAATTGTTTCTATCGACTGCCGTTGGTCTAGTGGTAGTAGACATGACTGCTGATTATGTAGTCACAAGCTATAATAGCGCGGGACGGGCTGATTTCAACTATTGGGTTTTTCTGTTAAGCAGTTTTAGTTTTTCAGTAGCAGCCCAGAGTCAGAAAATTTTCGGTTTTCGATCAAGTGTTTCGAAAAGCAAGTAAAGTCATTAGTCCTGCGTATGCTCTCTCTTAATTTGTGTTAGATTGCCTATGTATGGCTATGAGTGAAAGGGTATAGAGTGCATCTGTGTTTGTGCTATATTCGTACGATAATCGTGTCCTGCGCAGATAGATAGGATTGGCTGACGTGACTGAAATATGAGGAAAATACTTCTAGCGATCAGTAGCGGAAATTGGTTTTGATCGTATTAGACCAACGTGGCGACGGAAGCATAGTAAAGATAAACGACCATGAGCGAAATACGTGTTCCAAATTGTAATAACTTATTCAGGAAAATGTTAACAATTACTATGAAAACATTGATGTAACGCTGCTCAAAATATTGTATGTCGTATCATATCTGCACCCTTTAACTGATAAGATTAAAAGAAGAAAGAAGTCTTCTGGGGTGAAAGCATATAGAGTAGGTCATAACAAGGAATGGCTATTGGCCAAAATACTTATTTACATTGAGACGGACTGTGTGCTCGTGTATCTTAATAGATGTAAGGGGCTACCTCCATAAAAACTGCCGAAGTAAAATGTTGCAAGAAGTGTAAATACTAATCTTTCTACTTATTTTACTTATTTACCTAAAACTGAACATGTAGCAAGATTTAGTTATTATCATAACCAAGGTCAATATTGTTGCATTTCATTTTAGACTACATTTGAACATATGCCTATTGCATTGCAAGCCAGCAAATGATAGCACTAGAATAATAACATCTCTAAGTTCAAGTAAAATTATAATCAGTTTAGAAATAAGCTCTTTACTATTAATGTATTAAGCTATGTAAATCCTGCAATGACCGTGTAGTTCGTAAGAAGCGAGAGATGAAAAATAATGAGATGGGCAGAACTAAAAAATGAAAAAAAAAACTGCGGTTTCCAACCAAGCGTGGCAATTATGGCAAATATCTTACTGATGAGGTAATCTATGCGGAACGGTAATCCTGCAATGATTGTGAAATTTCACCGGTCCGTAAAATCCATTGTGGAATTCCGAATTTTGAAGGGTTTGGCTTAATCACGACGCTTGGTAGGCGGATTGACGATCACAAAACGCAGTTATAATTATGTATGACAAAAAAATAAGACATCAGGCAACGATCGTTCGCTAACATTATACATTTCATCTAAACTTTGTAGAGAATCATCGCTTATAATTGTAATGTGCTTTCTGCCACCGACGGGTTTGTGTTGATTTGGAATGTGCTGTAAAATTCACGGTGCTTGCTCAGTCTCAGAGCTACTCATGAAAACTTAAATTTTAATTTAGTGATCATTTATTTAGCTTTTATTATTTTAAATATTGCCAACTTCAAAAATGCAAATTTGATTTTATTTAATATTGATTTAGCATTAAATACAAAATATAATAAACTAGCTTTTTAACCGCGTCTTCGCTTGCGTGCGCTTGAATTTAGAAACATCGATAATACTATTTCATATTAAAATTAGCAAAATTCTGTGTCTATATTGGACGTAGGAAATGATTAAAATTTGGCAATATTATATGCTACAGAAACATATAAGTGAGTATATTAGAATTGCATTAATATCGTACGTCTGGCAACACATTTTTTTATACCGGACACGTCTTCCGATGTGCCGTTATAAAGGGAAAATTTCCTTGGAATTAGATTAGTTGATATAGTTTTCAAAATAATGTTGAATTTCATTGTTTTTATTGATTTTGGCGTATTTATTAATATTGGCCCGGTTAAATATTGACCAACGTGCCAGTATTTTTTTTTACGTTCGAGTAGACTTCAAAATTTCATAAATGTAGTTCTATTCACGGTGAACGTAATTCACGAATGGGAGTAGAAATCTAGCAGGGCAGCAGCGTCTTCCTAATTATAGCTCAAAATAATAAAAATATGCAGTTGGCAACTCGCATGCGACTTGGGAGGAATACAATTGATGAACGGGAGTGGAAATATATTAGCATTTATAAAGGGCGAAAAAGAATCCACTACCCCCTTTCGTCGCGTGGGTGTCGTAAGACGCGGCAGAGGTAAACTGAAACAAGAGATGGGTGGCAACATCTTCTTGATAACATCGCAAAGTAATAAAAAGCTGCGGTTATCAACCCGCTTGCCAAGCGTGAATACTACTGCGAATATCTGGCAAATAATGGTGGAAGCCTATGATCAGCAGTGGATAGCCCTGTTAAAAGTAAAAAAGTTGCAGCCTAGGTACATCCCACTTCTTGGCACAGGCCACAGTGAGTTTTAGGACAAAAAGAAGTTGATTGAGTTGATGCGGTGAGACTTACGAAACTTTAATACTGCTCGTATTGAAGAAGCGATCGAGCGGAACCAGGGCTCCAAAGTCTTTGCCAGAGATCTGTCTGCCAAAAATAGCCAACTGTTAAAGCTAAAGACTGAGTGTGGCAGCATCGTTTCCGGGACAACTAAGATTTTGAGTGGGATTGAGAGGTTCTATGGGCAGCTGTACAAAACACCGTGAAGGATTTCTTATATTTACGCGAACACTACACATTGAAATAATACTAGTTTTTACGGAATTTATCGCGTATATTAAAAAAGTTAAAAATTTTCAAATCAATTGTGAATTTAATTAAATAACTATTTAAATGTAAGTTATTTATTTTATTTTATTTATTAGTAACTGAAGACAAAATATCACGACTTTTTATATTTTAGGTTAGATGGTCTTGAAAAAGTGAATACAACAATAATATCGTAGATTGTCGGCGTAGTTCAATTTATTACGCAATAGTTAAAACTAATTTTGGGATTTATTTATAAATATTTTATTTATTTTAGTAAAACACATCAATCGTATAAAATAGAAATTAACATCTAAAGGAAGGAAAATACTTAACCCTCCTTTTTTGAAGTTCCGTAATGGGATAAAAGTAGTCTATAAGTAAACCCAGGTCCCTAACTTGGTTCTCTGGACTTGTTTTTTCTAACTGTCTTTGTTTTAAGCTAACCTGTGATATTTCATTCGCGTGAAATTTTCAGATTTAGATGAACAGTTCAAGAGATTACTTCCTACAAACTAACTTATTAACTTATACTTACTAATAATGTTACCTTTTTAATTGATTAGTGTTTATAGCGTGGGAAATTATGGGAAATCTACCGTGACATTCTGGTAATATATACCAATTTCGTTTAGTATTCTCAGTTTTAAAATACAAAACACAAAGTAGTAAAAGTGAAATAGAACCTGTTAATGTCTGTTAATACACAAAATACTTATAGCTTTTTTAATCAATCCAAGTAAAAATAATTTAGTGGCTATTATATTTTTAGTCTAATCGCTTAAATGGGCTACAAAAATTGTATTTTGGTTGAAATATTGCTAAGAACTATAATTCCGCAATATTATCAGCGATCCTTTTTCAGTTTCATTGTGCTACACCTTGCAGCGTACATTCCGTCAATGTGATGCATTGCTGGAACTGTATCTCTGATAATTGAGTTCTTAAACATGAAGTAATATTGAGGCTATAGGTTTAGCAATATTATACCGCGTTGCATGATACAGAAGGCAACTTGACAGTTATACAATTACACACAGCTAGATATTGCCACAAAACTAACTCGTCTACAAGCTTTAGGGAGACGAACTATCGTTGTAGAAGGTTCTTATTATTGACAATTTTTCTTATAACATCGTAACAACTTGTGTGTCAAAAGGACTGGTAAGCTTGTTTTATATATTTATTTGAAGGCATCAAAATTGAAAAATGAGTGTGAAGAAACCTTCTGTCTCTAACTCTCTCTAGAATCCTTGTTTTATTTCTAAATGAGGAAACTTTCCTCATTAAAAAAAACAAGAATTCTAATTCGTAAAAGCAGCTGTTGAGTTTGGTCGCAAATCTGACGGAAAGACAAAAATTGCTCATTACCTTTCTGACGGTTGATTCTCTCGATCTTTGCTTTTTTCGTCTGCCATTATAGAAACTTTTCTTTTGCCGTCTATTGGAGTCGCTTGTGGTGCTAATGAAGCAGGGGCTGAAGCGGGCGGCGGCTGATCTTGACTGGATTGATCAGGCCGTCGGCGGCTTTCATCTCCATCGTTTTGCTTATTTTGCAAATCGCTGAGATCGAAGGGGTATTCCTTAATGGCTGTCATTCGGATGCTTGTTTTTCGAACCTGAGAAAATATTTTTTAATTGTTATTAATAGTATTCATACAGTTGGTTGTTTTTCTAGTTGATTATCATAACGGGGACGACTTCTGCCTGTTACAGAAAGCTGTCAAACGTGCAGGAATTTTTTAAGTATCACAATTCGTTCACGCAACCATAAGAGCACTTTTTATATAGGTACATGTCCGTTTCATATTATAATATTTACTGCCACATTTAGGCCATAAGATTCAGCTCGACTGCAGTATCAGAGACACCGAAAAAATCGCAACGTGACCAGACCCAAAATCTCACAGTATTGCCTTAGTTGGGATTTTATCACTTCTAGCCCTGTTCCCCTTTTATATATAGTCTTATCCCACAAAGACATTGATTTTAAGCACTAAACCTACTAGCACCACGTATAGTACATTAAAGTTCTTCGAAATAATTATATGTCTTATCCGCAAATAAATTGCGGAATATAATATAGAAGTAATACGAACTTATAATATGATACAGAAGAAAGTAAATGCGTTCGTGCTTTCATTAAATCTAAACTTTTTCTTTTCTTATTTGAAAACATGCTTAGATTTAAAAATATGCTCATATTTCAAAAATATTTTTGTTAAAAAGTATATCAAAAGATTTTGCCAAAATTACATACTGCCACTTTTCTCAATAACGACAGTTAGTATCACTTCAAGTTACAAGCGCACTTTACAATGGTTGACACCGCACTGAAAGTTGTTGAAGATATTTAAGTAGTTAGTTGAAAATATTAGCACCTTTATATTCAGCACTTCATCTGACCTATACGACTATAAGCCTATGTGTAATTTTGGAACAAGAACTGTAAGAAAAAAAGATTAATAATAATATTCCTTAAACATAATTGAGTATAAATGAGTGTACATAAATGTGTAAATATAAGTAAAATAAATGTGTAAATGCATAAATAAATGTAAAGTGTGAATAAAAATAAAAACAAACTTTTAAACTATAATTAGATAAAAATAATTTTTTCAAATTTAATAGCTTCTGATGTCGATGCGGAGACAAAGTACATAAATATCGAAGTATTAAAGCTAATACATATGTAGAAGTGAAGTTAAATTATGTTTATTGTTCTTTCAATTCGGTGTTTACTTTTTTAAGTTTATATTCAACTATTTTGGGTGAAGTAAGCAATATTTATTTATTTATTTATCACAACCTTAAGCTAACAAGTAGAATATTGTAGTTATTGTTAAAGTTTCATTAGATGCAATGGGACGAAATAACACCCTTAGTAGGGTGGTTTTTTAAAATAATCTTTAAATTTGTCGAGGCACAGGTCTTTAGTATTAAAATCGGTTAACTATTAGTGAAGTGTCGCGTAATATATATACAAAAAATATTAATCTTTAAATTTGTCTGGGATCGCCTTGAGGCGCAGTCTTTAGTATTGTCAACAATTAGTGATGTAAATCATATTGCGATTTATTTTTTATTTTTTAATACGTTTATAAATCACAAAAATTAATCACTTCACTATTATTCACACATCTAATTTGAATCAGCAAGGGATTGTGATGGTGATAGTGGACCAGACCAGGACCAGACCAGATGGGCTTGAAATGTTCAAATACTTAGTGTTATCAAAATAAACAGGAACAGTTATTATGTTAATGAAGATTGATGCTATATTAAGCTAAATTCCTATAGCTTGGTGGTTGAGATGTCGGGCTGATTATTAAGTGACGACCTCGATGCAAACATTACATACAAAAACTTTATGTAGTAGTATGATTGAAAACTTTATGTAGTAGTGATGAAGTGATGATTGATTATAAACTGCAACCAGGATCCACGAAAATGCAAGGATAAGCTGTAGCTGTTAAATATTTCATTTATTATTATATTCTTTTTATATTAGAAGTGTGTCAGTAAATGTGTATAAGCATTTGGAGAAATATTTTTTAAATTTTGTCCTCTACAAAGTAAGGCAAGTCATCACTATAGATAGGGAACGGAATTGAGCCGAGGTTTGAGCCCTAAGGGACATCTAACAATACAGGTGACTCGAAAGAACTTTTACCATTGATAATCCTGCATTCTATTACTGCATTTGATAGCAGTTTGTCTTCTAATATATCTCATTCATACTGTTTTATTATAAAAAAATTGTGTCGGAGATAAACTTCCTCAAAAAACCTCCTTCCTATGGAAGGAGTTTATGTATAAGTGTTAGTCTGATTTCAAACTGATTTAAAATTGACAGTGTAAATTAATGTTTCTCTTTATTTGTTACTTTTTAATTTCTTGGACGGTATAAATAAATTTTGTGTGTAAGGTATACATGTTAAATTTTACTAGAATCCGATATAATATAGTATTGCTGTTTTTACGATCATGCTACGCTATCGATTTTATCAAAATAATCATTCGTTTTATTATTTGTAACTTTTCTTTGTGATACAAGTACAGTGAATTCAAGATTTACTGCACACATCACAATCACACAAATTCACGTCAGCTTTTTGAAAAATTCCTTCTTTAATAAACCTCATCTACTGCCATAAATTTTTTCCTTTTTTTTTTCTTTTTTTGTGTTATCCACCGCTCGATTATCCCACAAGTACTATAATCCGCCGTTTTTTGGACTGAGGATTGTCCTTGATTTAGCTCTGTAATGCGCCGTAATTATTGATCGAAAAAATAATGAACATAAACTTAATTGAACGATAATACTTTTATCGTTGTTATTGCTTATCTATATTCAACGTTAAAACCGTGTAGTGGCGGTGTAGGAATGTCAACTATCCTGTATCTTCTCGTGAGTGTTGCAAGAGACGATAAAGAGAAATAGAAACAGGTGATGGGCAACCGTCTGGTACAACCCGCTCGCCAAGACTACCTATGGGAGAAGTTTAGTAGTGGACTTTTATAGGCTGTAATGGTAATATCCAACATGGCAGAGCCATGCTACAGCTGCAGCTATATTATGGTAGTAGCACGAATGGATCGTCTCGACCGGGGAAGGTCCACGTTCTCACAGAAAGAAATCTATCGTAAAATAGCTTTTTATCTTGCCTAAAAATAAAGAACATTTATATTTACGTGTAATAAAAGAAATATATCTTAATTAACTGGTTTTCAAACCTGGCTCTTTCATATTAACCATCCCCTACACCCTTTTGAAAAAGAGTAGGCTCTTGTTTTGGAGGTCCTTAAGTCGTATCGGTCCAGTAAAATCGCAGGTAGTAGTCGATTCCACAAGGAAGTTGTGGGAGGAAGGAAACTAGTAAACGGCACAGTGGTAAATCGCCAATCATCCAGATGGTATTGATGGTATCGTAATGCTAATCCGCCTGTCCCTGAAATGTCCATCAACATAGCTAATATATGCGCAATATCGTCATTTGTCCGATGTCAGAGCCTCGCTCATAAGCTAGCAGGACACATCGCGCGCAAGCGATTATTTGAAAAAGAATACCCTTTAATTATTATTTAAAAACTGAAGTTACAACCTAAATATGAAGTTCCTCCGGTGGAAACAGGTCTCTATATATTTGTGACAGGGTTATGTAGCAATGTGTACATTATGCTACTCCAGTGCGTGTTGATGGACTTCAAATGTCTTTGAAAAACTTTTATTTTTCAGTCAGTTTCCTAACGATATCTTTCTTCAGCATCGAGAACGTTGTAACTCTGTGTTCTAGTTACTTCAGCCTTTTTTTAAATCTTATATTTAAATACGGACTTATGACCGTTACGGTTATACCAATCTTAACATTCTCTTTACTATTTTATACATATATATTATTCACATAAATATTGTTCACATAAATCTTTTTATATGACATGGTAGCTAATTGGCCATTTTGGCTACTTTAGCGTTATTTTATTGCCTCACGTAGAAATTTAAGGCAGAATTTACCGCCTTTATTTTTAATATATTTTTGGAAACATTAATAACTACTTGATTTATAATCTATTTTATAAGTTAAATTCAATAGAAAATAAAAAACCATATGCTTCGCTTCTTTTATGTGAAAAATAGGTATTACCTAATACTCTCGTCGCATCCTACAATAAAATTGAAATGGTAAATACTACATAATATTGACAATAGTGTTTCACAGGCTGCGGTCGAGTATTTATTCGCTTAAGTGGACTCATCGCAATCACATGATCACTCGCAAGGAGCCACGAGAGGCCACGAGTTCCCAATCATGCGTTTATTTACGTTGTGCTTTGACCGCGGTAATGTTGTCGCATTGTCGCGAGGCGCTTATCGCCCTTTAACATTGTTAAAACGATTGCTCATCCAATTCTTTATTATGAAATCTTTATTATTACTCTGATAAAGTACAACGGCCTTTGATGAGTGTAAACGGAATACTGAATTCAATGCAGAAAACAATGCAAGTTGAATTTTTAATAAGTTTTTGCAATCTTTATCAGAATAGTAGATGCTGATAAAGGTTGTAAATAATTGACTTAACAAACGAGCGTGTAGTTGCTTACCATGTTATTGTTTTATACCATATAAATAAAATCAGATGAAAATATCAAATGTAGTTACGTTGACCCATACACATACCAGAGAACAGGCTTAGTTTATGTCAAGTTTGAAAAACCATTGTATTTTTTTCCTCTAATTTTGTAGTGTAGACATTATAGATATTGCAAATTAATGCCTAAAAAGAATTTTAACAAAAGGTGACATACTAACTTCTCATTTATAACTTTACTTGAATCAGTTTTTGAATGTATTGTTAGAGAATTTCTCATAATTTATACTTAACTAAGGACAGCGTACCCGCGATGTCTCGTAATGGAGATTGAAACCGCTCGCGGTGATTTTATTTTACGTATAGGTATACACTCATTTAAAAACTAAACTAAACTTATAATTAGATACGTCAGCGATTTTGAATAAAGTTAAACCAGCTTCAGCAACGTTTCTGTCCAGTCAAGGGATAATTTCTTGATTTTTATTTCCTGGTATTTTAGTTGGTGGTGTGTTGAGTTGAACTGAATCAAATATTTTTGAATGATATATTTTTCAAATATCTGTGGTTTGATTTATTTATTTCTAAACTTATTGATCTAAAATACTAAAAACAAATAGTGTAGAAATAAAAATTAACATTTACATTTTTCGAATAAGTTAACTTCCCGCTATGAAGTCTGTCAAATATTACACCTCATGTGTAAGTGGCATGTTGGCATTGGTGGCCACAAAATACTCCTCAAAAATGTCCTCATTCACAATAATGAGTTAGTCCCTACTTTAATGTATGGTAGTGAAAGTTGGGTGTAATAGAAGAAGCACGAGAGTAGAATATATGCTGTAGAAATGCGGTCATTAAGCAGTATGTTAGGGCTGAATCTTAATGACAGGGTGAGAAATTGTGTGATTATAGAAGAATATAGTTTGTAAGATGACGTTGTGACCAGGATTAGGAAAGGAGCGCTACGGTGGTTTGGTCATGTAGAAAGAATGAACGAGGAAAGAGTGACAAAGCAAATCTATGTTGCAGAAGTGAACGGCAGAGTTGCGAAGGAACGCCCTAGGCGAAAATTCATCGACCAAATTGGTGATATACGGAAAATGAGCCAAATTAAGAGAATCCTTTGCTGACGAGCATGTATGCGTAGGTATATGGATGTGAAGGAGGCTAGAGAGAACAGAATCGTGCCAAATGGAAGTCCGTAGTCTCTGCCTACCCCTCTGGGTGACAGGCGAGAGTGTTCATTTTATGTTATTTTTATGCTGTGTGGGTTACGCAACTAAAAATATCGAGATAAATATATCGCTTTTTTTCCTTCACGTAGTTTTAGATTGTTTATCATTTTCTGATAAAATGATAAAACTGTTAATACTTTTTTTGCATCTTAGAGTAATTACTTACATATTACTCTAAGTAAAATAAAAAATAAAAATATAAATTTCTTTGCAACTTTCGCTAAACATGTTTGGAGTTGCAAATTTATATTTTTATTTTTTTATTGCATTTCCGCAAAGTAAGATTTATAATTATATTACTCTAAGGTTTGCACACTGATCCCTATTAATTTATTAAAATGAAATTATGAAGTACAGAATTTTATAAAGGGAAGCCATGAATTAAAAGAAGAAAAGAAATGACATTTGTTTTTCAACTTCTTTCATGTTGAAAATTTTCTTAAATTAATTCAAATTAATTTTATAGTTTTACATTTAAATATTTATTATTGTTTTTGCTTAATGCACTTACTTATAAATTTTCGTTTGTAGTCATTTTCTCGCGACTGTGTAACATAAAATGACTTTTTGAGAGATATTGACAAAAAATTAATTCATTATTTTAAATTGTATCCACGATGTGTGACCAGAACATTGACGGACCAGGGTATTGAGTACTAGGATCTGTTGTAAGCAGCAAGCGATTGAAATCGGTTTTCAGGATTTTGTGCTTTACCACAACACCATTTTCGTGGAGTTTTGAAAAGAAAATAGATAAAACATAAATTAAAGCTATTTATAGACAGCCATAGCGTGCAAGGGAGAAGAAAACTCCTTATGGGTACATAGCAAAATAGAAAAGGATAACAAATCTCCTTATTCTGTGACGGGTTTTGGATGACAAGTCAGCACGCACGGAATGGGGTCCGCATTATTTTGAATTTTTTAGTTTAATCTTATGTAGTTTTAGTAAACATCTTCAACAATGGTTAATTTATCTGCTTATTGGCTGGGAAATAATCCTGATAATTGTACATATCACAGGTTGATTCTCAAGATGTTTTCATTGCTATGATTTGTTTATTTTTTGATCAAAATTTATCTAATATACTATTTAAAATATGGAATATTTTCAATCATTTTCTAAATTTTTGTATGTTACAAAGTAAAAAGTCACGTTTACGGTTTATATATTTTTCATCAAACTATTTTACATGTACGCTAGGAATTGACTCAACTTTATCGAAATAATTGTCGATATTTATCTAGAATGTTTATAATGAATCCTTAGACTTGTACCCCAAACTAAAAGTAGATTCATGAAAATAAAAGACGTAATTTTATTTTAATTTCAACTTTTATACTATACTTTAACTCCGACTTGTTTTTGTCTTTAGTGCTCCAAAATTTGGCCATAGAAAAATAATTGAGAAAAATAATTTCGTAACAGAATAATGCAATACGTTATAGAAATTTACTTTGACGTTCGGCATAAATATGAATGTAAATCTAATAATTTAAGTAGGAACACCTGTGGGAGGCAATTAAACATGATCGCTTTGTATAAACGCTAAAATGTAAATGTAATTACGAGTGATTTGTTTAAAAAATCATTTTGAAATGTATTTGTGCTGAAATTAAAACGGAGACACAGAGTGCATAATGACTATTTTATTTTTCAAATGTGGTACACAACAGGTAAGTAACCTGTTTATATTTTATAAACATTACGTTAAAAAAGAAATTTCCAGGAACACCTCTATGACAGTAAACATTTTTCTGTAAGGCTCATAGCTCAAAAATACAAATTTCTGATCTGTTTTTTGGGGAAAATTGTTTAACTTTATGACTATACTCACCACTTCAGAGATTTTGTACATGTTGTATTAAAATTCAATAAAAGTCAGGCAGGTTCAGCTTATTTCTCGTAATATGTATTTTGAATAAATAAGAATTATTGAATTGGGGTATGTATATAGTTCTCATCTGATTGAGTTGCATAAATATATAAATGAAAATGATAATGTGTATGTAAATGTGAATAAGAAAGTTAAAAAATACAATACATTAATAAATAAAAACCCAAGAGACCAAATTTTCGAGGCTTGGGGAGAAATGGAAAGAAAAAAGCGAACGATGCGGGCGGTATCGAGGAGTCATGCCTATATTTGAGCTCGGAGTGGTTAGGCACGGAGTCCAAGTCATCTCAGATGGCTCAAGAAACTAGCCGGGATTAGCCCGTTCGCAGAAATGACTACAGGAATAATTTCGGTCGGTAGACCACCCCACATGTCGGTCACTTCGTAAGCCAAGTTCAGATATTTTGTTCACTCATCTGTTTCGGCTTTTACGAGGTTCTCGTCATACAGAATGATAATAACGACCAAAAATATCGTCGACTGTCTTTATTCGCAAGTATAGTTCTGTTTGTGATGATGGCTCAGTCCCAGTAGAGCCTGGAGCGGTTATTTTCGAGCACAGTTTCCAGAAAGTACTTATAATAAGGCGGTTTCCGGACACATTCAAACAAGCGTTGTGAATTGTGGCATAGCTTCAAGTTAGGCCCAACACCGAACCCGTACTCACCGGGTTGGCGCCAAGCTCGATAGATGTTGTTTTTAGATTTATTGAGGGGTTTATCCCAAGAAATTACGTCCCTATGGAATGGATCATTCGATCTCGTCAATAAATAATAACGAAGGCTGCACACTTCGCGATTATGCATGGCGAGTGCGCTTAAAAAGCCTCGCCTAACATGCTACCACGGCGAGTACAACCTCATTACTAACTAGATTTAGGATAGTGCATCCTATGGGACGTCATGGTAGTGTGGACTTTTCTATCCTGACTTTAAGTTAAGTTATTCAGTTTCGTGTACTGACCTAATTTTGTTAAATCTTTCTACCGCTCCCTTAGCACTACCAGTTGTATTGTTGAAACATTTATCGATAGTCTTTGAAGGTTATATATACATAACTAGCTAACGCACACAATGAAAAATCTAAATTTGTCATGCGTTTTTAGACTATCAGGTCGTCTGTACGCCAGTAAAATAAAACTAAAATATGTTTTTATCACTAAAGCATCTTCGCATAATTTTCTTTGTTCACTAAGTATAATGTACAAAGGATTTTCTATAGGCTATTAACATTAATTTTGTTGTCATTTAATACTCACTTTTTATTTATTTTTGTAGTGTTAAGAAATGCGTAAATAATTTTTTTATGTTTACATATGATTCATTATGACACCGTTGAGAATTGTTTCTATTAGCTAATTGTTTGTATGGAATTATGAAATCATAGTTATTGAGCTCTCGTAGAAGTAGGTTAAATAATGAGACCTTACAATGTACCAAGCAATACGTTGAGTCAATTTGGAGATAATATGTACATTTAGAAACATAAAATTCTAGAAGATGACGAAGTTTCAAAAAGAATAAAAGGAAAGTTTTCAAAAGGATAAAAGAAATCTTAACTTGTAAGATACAAGACTTCGCAACGCCAGTAAAGTTAATCGAATAATTGTAAAACTAAGAACATCTCAAAGTTAAAAAAGATTATAGCTATCGATTGACATCAAATTCTAAATTATAAAAAGTAATTTTTGTACACATGTTATTCCTTTTTTTAAATCATTTATTTACTTGTTTTTTTTGGATTTGCTTTTGTTGCAATATCACTACATTATTTATTACACTGGAATTTAAGAAACTTGTGTTATTTCTGAACATGAGTTCCGACATAATAACAATGCGTCCCGCATTGTTTCCATGTCGGAAATCATGATGACAAAGGCA